GTTTGGGGGGCGGAGGAGGAGGAGGGGGAGGAGGAGAAGGAGGAGGAGGAGGAGCAGGAAGAAGAAGAAGAAGAAGAAGAACAGTAAGAATAATATGAAGACTAAGAATAAGAAGAAGAAGAAGAAGAGGAGGAGGAGGAGGAGGAGGAGGAGGAGCAGGAGGAGGCGGGGGAGGAGGAGGACGAGGACGAGAATGAAGAGGAAGAAGGGGAGGAATAAGATGAGGAGGAGGAGCAGAGGAGGAGGAGGGAGCCGCCATCCGTGAGACATTTGCAATTTCACAAATTTGCGACATGTTATTTTTGGGGGAGTTTCTCTTTCCGTGTGCAAGCACAGAGAACGTCCACCGGGGAAAGCGGGGACGATTTTACACCTCGTCAGCGATCATTGTGCCGGCACACGGAACGTCCACTGGAGACCTGCGGGTACGATTGAGCACCACCGATTGTATGCATCAGTACATGCACGAATTTGTTTCAGAGAGTAAGAACTATTGAGATCCGATGCTAATACCATGTCCCTCAATGCCGATGTTCTCCATGTCTGACCGTGTTTTCGCAGAGGGGGCAGCGCAGGACAAATTGCGAGAAGAGGCTGGGCGCACACATGCCGCCAGCCCAGGACGAACTCTTCGGGCCCTGCTGTGGCCTTCTTGGGCTGTCTGTGACCGCTCTGTGACTAAGGGAACGAAGGATGACATAAACACAAAAACTCAGAGGTCCGCGCTCGGATCCGCGCTGTACCCCACTGGCGGCGCCGCCCCTGGCGCGCTCCGCGTCAGGGACGGGGGTCCAGCGTCGATTCGAGAAATCCGCATAGACCTCTGAGTTTTTATGTTTATGTCATTCTTCGTTCCCCTAGTGCCACGCGATGCCAGGCCGCCCAAATTCTAGGTCCGAGAGAACGGGGTCAGTCTTTTGTTCAAGCCGTATCGCCGATGCATCGGCGATACGTCTCGGTTCAACGCCCCGCTTTCTCCATCCCGATGTCGCCGATGCATCGGCGATGCAGCGCGACTTTCCGACACAATCTGCTCGAACCCCATTTGCCGCCTTGGGTCTTCCACCTTATCAGATAGTCCACGGTAATGGTTTCTGCGTTCGCGCCCGCTCGCAGCCGAGAGGCGTGGTACGTTCGTGCCTTCCGCCCCTGTCACCAAGCAGTCACCAGCTGCCTGCGCCAGGTCCCGCCACCGGACCAGCCCAGGCATTTGTGGGTGGCCATTGACCGAGGGGGCGCGGAAGGCCGTCACATGCAAGTGATTGTGCACCCAGGCTTGGAGAGACGTGAGATGTGACACGCTCGCTCATCCGCGTCGTGTCGGCGTGTCTCTCCTCAGCGTCGGCCTCGAGGGGCTCTCTTGGGGCCGTCCTGGGTCGGGCAGAGGCCTGCCTCAGGCCGTCCTGGAGAGTCAGCTTGCGGTGTTGTGGCCGTTCAGGGCCACACTGGAGGCCTCTGGAGCATCGCCCGAAGCAGCAGCCAGGTGCAGAAGCAGCAGCCGTGGCCCCACGGGTCGACCCAGCCCCCCCACGCCGCGCCAGGCGGCAGCTGGTTCCAGCCAGCTGCGCTCGGTCCAGGTTTCCCCCCTCGGAGGAGGAGGAGGAGGAGGAGGAAGAGGAGGGCGGAGGAGAAAGGGGAGGAGAAGGAGGAGGAGGAGGACGAGGACCAGGACCAGGACCAGGACCAGGAGGAGGAGGAGGAGGAGGAGGAGGAGGAGGACGAGGAGGAGGAGGAGGAGGAGGAGGAGGAGGAGGAGGAGGAGGAGGACGAGGTCCGGGAGCAGACTCCGCAGGAGGGGCCGCGGCAGCCGGGGCCCACCCCGCCCCCCCCTCTGGCGCGCCAGGCGGGCAAGGAGCTGCTCCTCGAGCTCCTCGGGTCCAGCCCGCGACCGAGGCTGCCCAGCTGCCCCGGGCTCTGGCCCCGCAGCCCCCTCAGAGGCTCTTGGCCTCGCTCCGGACGTAGGATTGCAAAAAAACGAAGGATTGCAAAAAAACGAAGGATTGCAAAAAAAACCGTTTTTTGCAATCCTTCGTTTTTTTGCAATCCCTCGCTCCGGACGTGTGCATTCTCCTCCGGCGAGGACCACCGAGGAGCATCCTTGCTCACGTGGCGAGAAAGCCACCCACGAAACCGAGAAAAGCACCGGGTTCTGGCCCCACAGCCCCCTTCAGAGGCTCTTGTCAGAGCCCCGAATCATCCGGGGCAACTCGGGTCGGAGATGACTCGGGCTCGCTTTTCGGGAGTCCGAGCCCGAGTTACCCCGGACCCGAGTTGCCCCGGACAACTCGGGCGTCCAGAGCCCCGAATCATCAGGGGTAACTCGGGTCGGGGATAACTCGGGTTCGTTTTTCGGGAATCCAAACCCGAGTTACCCCGGACCCGAGTTACCCCGGATAACTCGGGCGTCCAGAGCCCCGAATCATCAGGGGTAACTCGGGTCGGGGATAACTCGGGTTCGTTTTTCGGGAGTCCGAACCCGAGTTACCCCGGACCCGAGTTACCCCGGATAACTCGGGCGTCCAGAGCCCCGAATCATCAGGGATAACTCGGGTCAGGGATAACTCGGATTCGTTTTTCGGGAGTCCGAACCCGAGTTACCCCGGACCCGAGCTACCCCGGATAACTTGGGCGTCCAGAGCCCCGAATCATCAGGGGTAACTCGGGTCGGGGATAACTCGGGTTCGTTTTTCGGCAACCCGAACCCGAGTTACCCCGGACCCGAGTTACCCCGGATAACTCGGGCGTCCAATCTTGGCCTCGCTCCGGACGTGTGCATTTTCCTTCGGCGAGGACCATCGAGGAGCATCCTTGATCACGTGGCGGAAAACCCACACCCAAGATACCGAGAAAAACACACAGGGAGTGGACGTCCGAGCGATGGCCAGGGCTTGGTCTTGGGGGAGGGTGGGGGGGGGAGACTCGGCGCATCGCCCAGCTTGCGGACGGGCGGGAGGGAGGAGGGGGAAGGGGAAGGGGAAAGGGAGGGAACGGGCGACAAATTGGGGGAGGGAGGGGGTGAAGTTTTTGGGCTTGGCCTCATGCACAACTATCCACCTGTCTCTGGCAAACCGTGCCAGTCTGGCAATTCCGTCGAAATGAGGTTGAGTTTTAGAAACGCTACAGTTAGCGCTCTGTCTGAATTCGACGGGGTCGTGATCGCCCCCTCATTGTTCGCAGTCTCTATTATTTCCTCATTCCTCCTCGTTTCTACCCCCAACCCCCTTCACTCTTGACGGTATCTTGGAAGCTTCTTGGGAGTTTCTTGGGTTCCTCTGGAAGCCGATATTATCCGGATGCCAAAACATGGATGTTCAATCTGTTGTTCAATTGCTTTCGCCTCTGAGGGCCTCGCCGGAAGCCTCTTCGGGCGTCTTTTGGAAGTTGATTAGAGCATTTTGGGGAGGTCGTGTTGCCTTTGCGAGCTCGTTTGGGCCGTCTGTGGGCGCTGTGTAGGGGTCGCACTGTAGTTTTGGGCAAGTCTTTGACTTTTTGGGGGCCGCCTGGAGGCTGAAACCTGCGCCCGAGAGCAAAACGAGCAAGGGGGAGGGCGGGGGTGCATTTTCCCGGAGGATGCGTGCTACGATGGGAGGTCGGCCCTAGAAACATCATGGAAAGCTCACCAGGCAACAAGCAGGCATTCTAGCACGCGTCAACGTGCTGCAGGGACGCATTGTGGAGGATACGCACCGCGCCTCCTACCCAGACCATGAGGGCTGAGCCAAGGGTGGGTGGTAAGCCTCGGTTGTTGACATAACCGTCCACTTCGAACGCTACTGCCGTGGCCGCGGGATCGTGGCACCGCAGCTGTACGAGATGAGGCGGGACCGATGATCAAATTGGGTGGGTCGTGTCGTCTTGTCTCCAATGTCACCTTCGCAGCGTTCCAGGATTGTCCAAACGTAGGACGCGCGAGCCTCATCTTGTCATCGCCAACATGTATACCCGAGTCCGCTACATCCCGAAGCCGGCGGCGCATCACCAGCCGTTCCTTGGGGGTTTGGCGAAGTGGCGCGCAGCATCGGCAGTCGTAACGCGCTGCGCATGCCAGCTATCCTTGCTAAGGGGCATGACTAGTGGCTTTCGGCCAAACCCGCCGCCGTGCCTGGCTCGTGGACAAGAGGCCTCTTTGGGCGGTGCCTTGGGGTCTCTTGGGAGGCCTCTTGGGGGCCTCTTCGAGGCATGTGTGGGACCTCTTGTGGGCCTATTGGGGAAGTATTTGGGGCCTCTTGGTGCCTCTTGGGGGCATGTCGGGGGTTGTGGGGGGAATATTGAAAGGAAAGGCTCCGAAGGCCATTTCGCGTTCCCCCTCTTGGGCCCTTGGTGGCACCTTGCTTGGACGCGTTTTGAGGCGATCGTGGAGGGGCGATATTGGAGGCCTTTGGGCCGTCTTGGAAAACCAGAGAAGGCGAAACAACTTGAGGGCTAGGCATGGTCTGGGGCTCTGGGAGGGGGAATTGAAAGCCCCATTCGAAACTGCTCAATAGTTTCGATGGTGGCGATTATTGCGACATCTGTGGTCGTGCTCCCCTGACGTCGGCGCTTGTTTCAGCCGACTGTTCATGCAATATGATGATGACATCCGCGAAGGTGATCGTTATATGTGTATCAAATCGTTCCAACATGTTGTCTCGATGTCCGAGCCAGTGCTCACGCGGGCTACTGAATCAAGACAGGCCGCCACGCGTGACTGTAATGAAGGACGCAGTGGCAGCGCGGTGGTGGCAACGCGAGGCAGCGAATGGCAGTAAAGTCATGTAAGCACCTTCAGCCGCCCCCATTGATGCAGCCGATGCGATGAGCCGTCGTTTTGCAGCAAGCCCGGCCCCCAGCCCTAGCTCCCTAACCTTGCCACTAGCCCTACGTGGCCCCTAACAGCCCATTTCGAACCCTACCGCCCTAACCCTTACCCTACCGCCCTCACCCTAACACCCTGACCCAAACACCCTAACCCGAACCCTACCGCCATAAGCCCGAACCCTTGAGCCCTAAGCTCTAAGCCCTAGGCCCTAAGCCTTAAGCTCTAAACCACAAGACAGACCTAAAACCCTAAGCCCTCAGCCCCAAGCCATAAACCCTGAGCACTAAGCCCAAAACCCAAACACGCAAAGCCTAACACCCTGTGCCCTAAACCCTACCACCCAAAGCCTTCCACCCTGAGCCTAACACGCAGTGGTTCTCCCCCCCCCCCCGAACCCTCTCCGACGCAAAGGGGGGGAGGTGTAGGTCACAAGCCAGGCGCCACGCAACGGCGCATCGGGGGAGGTGGGGGGGGTCCGAAATTCCCCCCACCTTCGCCGGGGGAGGGGTCCGACCCCACCCCCTTGCTCCTCCTCCTCCTCCTCCTCCTCCTCCTTCTGCTCTTCCTCCTCCTCCTCCTCGTCCTCGTCTTCCTGCTCCTCCTCCTTCCAAGGGAGGGCAGGGGGTCCAAAGAGTCCCTCCCCCCTTGAAGAAGGGGGCGGGGTGCTGTGAGAGCACGTCCTCCCTTCTCGATGAGGAGGGCATCCGCTAGCACGCTTTCGAAATCTAGGCTTAAGTCGGGCCTGTCCCTCTACAGGAGGAATACGGAAAAATAGTAAAACAGTAGTGTGGGGACGATGATTGGAATATTTTTGAAAATTTTGGGAGTATGTTCGACTATTTTTCATTGTTCGCACAAAATCCCCTTGTAGGGGGACAGGCCCGACCTAAATCTAGTCCGTGGGCTTCTTAAACGAACACCAGATTTCGTGCTCAGCCAAGAGAACTCGCAAGAGACCCACTCAGTCGTTCGCGGCACGGTGGCGGATATCCTCCATCAGTGAAGCCCCATCTTGGTGGAGGGGAGTTGGGAAAGGGTAGTGATCTCCCGCGCCTGATGATTCTCAAACGTATTGGTAAACGACAGCTGCACGAGGACCCCAAACAGTGACTGTGCTAAAGTTGCGGTGCGATCTACGGGATCCATTCTGCAAGATGCAGACCTCGCGGTGGAATATCCGTAAGGGCTTCGCCCCCTGCCGCCGGCCCCTTCTCTCGGATAATGGGTAATGCAAGAGCGAAATCATGAGGCCTTGGCGCCGCCGTGAAGCAGCGTCGGGACTTCACGCGAAGCCGATGAGTAATCGGCAAGTCAAACTGAGTTTCTGATGACATTGTTGAATTCGGTGTTGTAGTTCGAGCTTGCCCGCGTATGCTATGCAACAAGTTTTGCTGCGAGGTATTGAAATTTTGCAAATCCCATGCGTTTTTGACCCTGACCCCGCCGATCTGCAAGAGGGGTGCCACCGAATTTCAGACATGTAGCAAATCCTTCGTGCTTTTGGACCCCGACCTCGCCGATCTGCGTTAGGGGTGCCGCTGACTTTCAGAAATGTAGCAAATCCGTTGTGTTTTTGAACCCTGACCCCGCCGATCCGCGTGACGGTGCTGCCGAATTTCAAAAATGTACCCAATCCGTAGTGTTTTTGGACCCTGACCCCGCCGATCTGCGTGAGGGGTGCCGCCGAATTCCAGAAATGTGGCAAATCCCTAATGTTTTTAGACCCTGACCCCGCCGATCTGCGTGAGGAGTGCCCCCGAATTTTAGAAATGTTGCAAATCCGCTGTGTTTTTGGACCCTGACCCCGCCGATCTGCGTGAGGGGTGCCGCCGAATTTCAAAATGATTGCAAATCCCTTATGTTTTTGGACCCTGACCCCGCCGATCTGCGTGACCCCGCCGATCGGCGTGAGGGGTGTCAATTTCGACCCCCCCATAATTTCTGAGAACCCTCCCAGGAGACGCTGGCCAGGGGATTTTTCTGCTCCCCCCCCCATCGCGCGGTCCATCAACAAGGAACAGTAAGCAACGAGAGCCAAAACTATCACATTGGAAACTGGAAACTGGAACTAGTGCAGGGAGCAGTAAACCTTGGTCCTACAGCCTGGTGGCCCCACAAGGGGGCCGGCGGATATGTTGCGCAACTTGAGTGTGCACAAAATGCGTGGGGAGCATAGCTGGTTGGGTGCCCGCTCCAGCCTGACCATGCCGAACTTGAGGATTGCACAGGGATCCGTAGGAACCCATAAGGACCCAAGCAGTCATCAGACAGCGCGGCGGACAGGGGCTGTAGGGCTCGAGGCTTTAGGAACCCTAAGGAAGCAAACCGTATGGATCCAAGCAGCCACCATGACGTGCTGCAGAGAAGGCCAGTGCATCGGGAAGCTACGCGGTCCGACATTGGGATCTGGGCGACCAGCAGAAAGAGTGGCAGATAGGTCCAGTCAGTCGGAGCGCAAGTAAGCATCCACCAGTGCAAGCATTATTCGGATCATAGCATGTGCCGTGCAGTCACGTACATGCCAGGCCTGGGGGGGCAAGCCCGTTGAGTGATCTGTCGGCGGTCCTTTCCCAGGTCTGCTGAAGCATGATGACCTGGGCAGCGCGGCCCGACCACGAGGGGATGCACCACAATTCGCGGAACAAGCCTGAGCGTATTTTGCGCGCGTGTTGGGCACGTTGCGCCTTCTTTTTCGCAACACAGTACAGTCGGGGCCCTGAAGAAGGAACCCTTTTCGTTGCGGAGGGGCTCCGTGCTCCGTAAGTGTTTCGCAGCTTGCCTTGGATTTCCTTTCTGGGTTTTCGATACGAAATCGAAGGTCAGCTTATGGAAAATAGGGGCCTCGTTCCTTATTTAGGGTTCCTTAGGTCAAGGCCCCGACTGTAGACTGCAAGCTCTGCGTGCTGCAGGGTGAGCGGAGGAGCCGCCGGGGAGCCGAGCGGTCGATCGGCCGGCCGCCCGAGGGCAGCTGACGTTCAGGGCACCCTGCCGAGAAGCACAAGCCTCCCACCATCGCCACTCGGCCCCGCCCTCGCAGGGCTCGCTCCGATTCCTCCGAGTCGATTCGATTCGATTTCGATGGTTTCCGATTTCGGTTCGATTCGACTTCGGATTCCGACTTGGGATCCGATGACTCATTGGAGGCGTGCTAGCCTGCCGATGTCCGCCGATTCGATTTTTCCCGACTCGGCTGCCGATTTCCGTATATCCGATTCGTGTCGATCGCAGATCCGACTTGTCGATTCGATTCTGGGCTCTCCTGCCCTCGACCTCTCGCCTCGCTCCTTGGCAGATCGGGCCGGGCGAAAGGGGGGGATTGGGAAAGGGTGGGTTACGAATTTTGCTGCATGCAGCTGGTTTCGGCCTCACCGAGGGGGCCATTCCTCGATACATGGTAATACATGGCCGCCTCCCGGCGCCGGGAGGCGCCGGAAAAATCAGCTACGTGAGCTGATTCTCAAACCCCCCCTTTGCTATCCCCCCCTTTCGCCCGACCCGAGCAGAGCAAGGAAGCGTGATCATGATACGTTCGGAGGTGTCCAGAGATCGCCGGATGTCCAGGATGTCCCGTCGTGCCGCACGGTACGAGGGCCGCTAGGTAGCTCCGGCAGTCCTGGAACGCATCCTGAGCCAGCTGTCCAAGCAGAGTCCTCTGCTCGGGGGCGGCCAAGACAGGGGTGACGACTCGGGCAGGGGTCATTCCGATTCCGCCGGTTCGATTCGAATCGATTTCCGCGATTCCGATTTCGAACCGACTCGATTCCGTGATTCCGATTCGCGATTCCGATTTCGAGTTCGCCCGATCCGGCTTCTGCCGATTCGATGCCTCAGCCGATTCTTGCCGGCTTTTGCCGGTCCGGCTTCGCTCCGGGCTGGGGCCGCCTGCTAGGGGGTGTGGGAATCATGGCTGAGGCCATGCAAACCCCCTGGACTTCATGGTCCCATCTTCTTATTCCAATATGTCCACTGGTCCCTTCTTGGGCCGCGCACGTGCTTCTGACCGTGATGTGCGAGCCCAATCTTGGACGCCCCCCTCTCTGGATGCTGCATCGCTCTTCCCGATCGCTCTGCACAGGCAGCCAGCGCGAGGTCTGCCGCCTTGCGAGGCCACGGATGGGCAGCTACGATTTGTGCGCGTGGTTGCGCCGGGGTGCGGCTTGCGATCTCAGCACCTGGGGTTTGGCCAGGGGAAACGGTTAGGGGGGGGATACATGCCAAGAAACACCCTGCTTGCCTCCAGGGTGCCCTGGGCTTCTTGGGTTTCGATGGTTTTGCGCTGGAGAGCGGGAGGCTCCCACGCGGAAAATCGATGGGGTCTCAGGACTGGGTCCCTTGTGGAAGGCTTCTCGTGGTCGGGCCCCTGCTGTAGGCTCAGGTCGGGCATGGCCAGGACCCCAGGTAAGGGGACCCGGTTAGTGGTAGGGCCCCGGAGCCTCTGAAGCGGCCAGAATCACCAAACCAGGTTTGCCATGGCTGGTGTTTTCTCGGGTGGCGGCAGCTCCGGTTAGTGGAAATGGGACTGGGGGGCGCCCCTGGTACAAATCACTTCGGGGGCGGAAAAGAGGGGGGTGATGACTAGGGGGGGTGGATATCATGGCGGGGGCCATGATTTTTCCCCAGATTTCCTGGCGCCCCTTCCTACTTCATGACATCCCTGGCCCCCCCGCTGGGCCTCGCACACGCCGCCGGTCATGATTTGCACCCCCCTCCTCTTGGACACCCCCCTCCTGGCCGCTCCCGATCACGAAACCAGGTTGCCCTAAGCCCAGTTCTGCCAGCGCCCGATGAGGAGGAGGAGGAGGAGGAGGAGGAGGAGCAGGAGGAGGAGGAGGAAGAGGAGGAGGAAGACAAGGAGGAAGAGGAGGAGGAGGAGGAGGAGGAGGAAGAGGAGGAGGAGGAGGAGGGAGGAGGGGGAGGGCGCCGACCCCCGATGGCCCTTTTTCGTCGCGGAGAGACGGAGGGGGGGCCCGGCCCGCCAGCCCGCCCCGCCCGGGGGAGCCTGCAGCTTCTCGCCGTCGGGGGCCCGGCGCCGAGCTCTCTCGGCGAGGCATCGCCGAGAGCTCGGGTCGGTGTCCGAAGGAGAGGATCTCAACGGCACCGCAACGGGTACGTTACTATAGGGCGACGAGATCTATGCATACCCACTGCTCCTGGCCAGGCCCATCCTGGGCCCAGGAGCGGTGTGTACGCCCTCCTGGCCTGGCCAGGGAGGCGTATACACAGCTGCTGCGGCCAGGATGGGCTGGGCAGGCGCAGGGGATATGTCTAGATCTCGTTCGCCACGCATTACTAAACGGGTACTTTGTAATTTGCAGAAAGGTTAGCCTTTTTAGGGCTCTTTCGGCAATCGCAGCGTTTGCCCGATCGGGAAGGGTGGGAGTTCGCTGGGCACTGGCCAAGAGTACCAGTTCGTTGGACGTCCCCGTGGAGGGGCGCTGAGAGGTTAATCGGTGGCGGGCAAGAGGGGGGTGATGACTTCAGGGGGGGGGTAGATGGCTGGCGTGGGCCATGATGTTTCCCCAGATTTCCTGGCGCCTCTTCTTATCCCATTGCGTCCCTGGACCCCCCGCTGGGCCGCGCACATGCCGCTGGTCATGACTTGCACCCCCCCCCCTCTTGGACACCCCCCTCTTGGCCGCTCCCGAAAGAAGCGCCATGAACATGAAATGGTTGGCGCGCCGTGCCGATTTCTTGGATCCCCGCTGCCCCCCCCCCCCCCGGCGGCGCCTCCAGCGCCGCCCCTGGCGCGCTCCGCGCCCCAGGGAGGGGGGTCAGCGGCGCAGGTCCAAGAAATCGGTGCGGTGAGATACAAACACATATATGATGGATATATGTATATATATATATATGTGTGTGGTTGGCGTTTCTGTTGTTGGCGTATGAATATACATATATATAGATGTGTATACATACATATGTACCTATATATATATATATATATATATATATATATGTTCATGGCGTTTTTGTTCTTCTTCTGGATGGTTCCCCGACTGGGCCAGCCCCGCCCCCCCGATCGTTGCCCCTCGGCCTGGGGTGCACCACGTGGAGCCAGAGGCTTGCAGAGCCCCTGCCGGGGCGCAGCAGAGAACTCTGGCGAGGCCCTCGCCCGCCACCCCGGGGCGCCGGTCGCAAACCGCACCCTTCGCAAAGCTCGGGGGAGCGTAAGACCCGGGTTTGCCAGGACTCGGTTTCGCCATCGTTTTTTGACGACCGCGCCTCGGATTTTGACGAGGAGGAGTTTCGTGGGATGTCTGCAGCGGGAGGCCTCGTCAAAATGCAGGCTCGGCCTCGTCATTTTTTTGACGACCTCGTCGGGGATTTCCGAGTCCCCTGTACCCAGGTCTTACGTCCCCCTGAAAAGCACACCCGTGGGAGTCGCCGGAGAGAGGCAGAGTGCGCTGACACGTCTCCCGGATGGGGACGGTGGGAAACTCAGAACCCAAGGGACCTCGGCCACGTGCACGCAGAGGGGGGGGAGGGGGATTGAGGAGGGCGTCTTGGAAGGACCCCTGCTTCTTACTGGCGCGGGTTGTGTCCATAGATGTAAGGTCGGCGCCTTCTAAGAAGCAGCCTCCTTCTAAGAAGCCTTCCCCGCTGCCCCTACCCCCCTCTGCGCGCCGCCAATGACCAACCCGGAGCTCCAGACCGCTCGGCCTCCTGCCGAGAGTTGGGGCGCCTGTCTCGAAGGCCCCTTTGCCAGACCGCCCGCTTGCCTGAGGGACGCATCGTTTTTTGTGGGTGTGCTTCGCTGATGCCGAGCTCGTGTGCACGCGTCGATGCGTTCCTGGCCAACGACCCCCGTTCTCATGATCGCACGCACCTGCGTGCGTCTCGCACGGCGCGGCCGTGGCTCTGCGATTCTCAGTCCCATCGCGGAGAGTCTCAACCGCCTATGCTCAGGCGATTGCAAACATGGATTCAGGGGGGCGTGGATTCGCGACGGGTCCCGTTTCCACGGGAAATCGCGGATTTCCGCCGCCGAACGGGGCGGCACCGGCCGCATTTTGGGGAGGGCGCCTCCCCGATCCATCGATACGGCGACCGCGCGCCAAAAATCCATGGATCGCCAATCCATGTTTGCGCGCCCCCGAACTTGCGTGCGTCTTGCATGGCACGGCCGTGGCTCTGCGATGCTCAGTCCCATCGCGGAGAGTCTCAACCGCCCACTCGCGGCCCTCTGCGCTTCGATATCCGACCTCCTCCGGCCTTCCTCCTCTTGGCATCGCTCGGACGCGTGCATTTTTTCTCGGCGAGGACCATCGAGGACCATCCTTGATCATTTGGCGGAAAAAAGCACGCACGAAACCGAAAAATACACGAGGAATGGACGTCCGAGCGATGGCGAGTCCTCTTCTGTACGCACGCCTGCCTCCTCGCACTTGGCCTCGACTCCTAGCTTTTTACCTCCGCGTGCCCTCAGCAACACCCCCCTGCCGCTTCCGCATCCTGCCTCCTCCCTCTCTCGTGTCCGTCTTCTCCTCTCCTCTCTCCTGCGAAAAACTACCGCCGCGGATGTAAGGTTCTTGCATCAGCACAGCGCTGGTAGTGTGCTGCACGGCAATTCGAGGCCTCCGGTCTGGGTCACGGTGGGCTCGGTGTTGCGCGCCGATTGGCCATGCAGCGAGCGCCTTCCGATTATTTTAGAATAGGTGACGGGCGGGTTTTCTCTTACTGGCTCGCATGCTAATCCAGAGATCTGGCGGCTCAAAAAAATCGAGGTGGCCGATATTCCCTTGTTTTGGCCTTTGAAAGCCGTGCGTTAGCCCCAGGACCGTCAACAAGAGCTACTCGGGATGAAAAAGCAGTCCCAGGGAACGGATCGAGAGGTCGGGGGCCACGCCTCAAAAAGATCGCATCGTTGGATCTCTGGGAAGTGTGCAGTTGTCAGAACACGTGGTAGTTCAGCAGCAGGTTGAGGAAATTTCCAGATAATCGCACGTCCGTCCATGCGAGCTCTCTGCAGCAAACTGCAGCACTTGGGAGCCAGGAGGATGGACGCGAGGGGGTTCGAGGCAAGGCTATTTGGGCCACCCGCTGTCACTCCGAACCGTCACCACGATCCCACCCGTAGATGTTCTTCTCGGGAAGAGAGGGGGGCGTTGCCAGAGGTGTGCCTGGCCCAAGGTCTCCCCGCATCACTTCCGAGGAGGTCCCACGGCCTCCCCAAGCACCCCCTCACGAGGCCCAGCGGGCTCGGGCGCTCCCAAGCGCGGCGAAAAAGTTGGATACGCACCTCGGGCCGGGGACGCCTTCCTACGGTAGGTTCGCGTCGTGTCGACTCGCGGCGACCCCAGCGCGGGCGTTCAAGGTTGAACGCCGCCGGCGACCCAGAATCGATCGGTGTTGAACGATCCGACGTTGCGGCAGCGGCCGATCGTTCAAGGTTGAACGATCCCTGCGGTGTCAAAAACCAACGCTGGGGTCGGCACGACACGAACCCGCCGTAGCAACCCCCGAAATGAACTGAAGCATCACAACTGCGTCGGGGACCAAAGTGGTAGCCGTTTCTCAGGCTCCCTCTCCGGAATCGAGCCCTGATTCTCCCTTACCCGTCATTGCCACGGGAGGCCAATACCCTACCGTCGGAAGCTGATAGGTCAGAAGCTTGAATGATTCATCGCCAGCGAAGCTATGCGATTCGTTCGGTCATTGTGAATCACCAAAGGACCAGGCGGAGCCTGGGCTGGTTCTGTAACTAATAAACACAACCCTATGCGTTTCGGGCTCGCAAAGCGTGGCAGGCGTGGCACTTCCTCGACACCAGAGGGGGTGCGCTGGGGGTGGGGACCCACCGCGGTCTCTATACGCACCAATGTCGCAGGGCATAGCAGGAGTGGCATTTCCACGACGCCAAAGGGGGTGCGCTGGGGGTGGGGGCCCACCGCGGTCTCTATACGCGCCAATGTCGCAGCACACACGGACACAGACACACACGCACACCGACACACATGCACACAAGCACACACACACACAGACACGCAGAACAGAACACAGAACAAGCAGACGACAACACAACATATAGCGGGGCGCCCAGGGCGGTCACATTGGCAGGGCGCCGCGTTCCAACGCAGCGGCGGATCGCGCGCGGGCTTTTCTGCTGTGTCTGCTCCCTCTTTCGCTGCGCCCTCTCTCTTTCTCTGGTCTCTCCTTTCTCTTCTCTTTTTCTTGTCTCCCTCGTCTCTTTCGTGTTGCGTTGTTTCTTCTTCTGTCTCTCCCTCTCTTTCTTTTCATTATTTTCTCCTCTCGTCCTCTTCTCCGGGAAAGCGCTTCCCACCTCAGTGGGAAGGGTCGTGACCTCGTGAGGCCGCGGACTGAGCAATAATCATCCCGGCAGAGGACTCAACCATATGCAAGTATGAGTACCTCAAGGCACGTGGGACGCAGGAGGGAGAGCTCCATACGGGGCTACGAATCGTGTCAAGGGTGTGCCGAAATCGGCGGGGAGCCGCATATGGACCCACTGAGGCCTCAGGTGGAGCTCCCTGTTGTGCCGCGACATGTGTGAGGCGGGGACCTGCATGTGGACGGACCCACTGTGGCCTTAGGTGGAGCTGCCCATGGGTTCACGAAATGTGTGAGGAGTGTGTGCCGTACTAGGCGAGGAGCCGCATGTGGACGCACCCATGGGAGCATTCGGGGGAGTTCCCCATAGGATCACGAAGTGTGTGAGAGGAGTGCCGAAATGGGCGGGGAGTGACATGTGGACGCAGACACTGAGGCCTCAGTTGGAGCTCCTTGCTGTGCTACGAAACGTGGCAGGGTGTGCCGAAATTGGCGGGAGCTGCATGTGGACGGACCCACTGGGGCCTTAAGTATGCGGAGCTCCCTACGGAGTCACGGCATGTGTCAGGGGTGTGACCGTAATGGGCGGGTAGCCGCATGCGGGCGCATCCACAGGAGTTTCAGGTGGAGTTCTTTATGTGGTCACGAAATGTGTGAGAAAGGAACAGTCGGATGGCAGAGGCAGAGATGGGAGGAGAAAAGGAAGGAAGGAAGGAGTGTGACGCGGGGCGTTGTGGATTCCAAACAGCGACCCAATTCCACAAGATGGGTCGTAAATAGAACGTGCGGAGGGAAGCAGCAGGACAGAAGCAAGAGCGAGAGATGGGGGGGCAGCGGGAGGGAGCAGAACGTGGCGCCGCGGATTGGAAAAATAGTGCCCAATATATGGACGATGATGGTGATGTTGGTGTTGGTGTAGATTATGTTGGCGATGATGATGATCGTGATGGTAATGATATTGATGAGGGTGTTGTTGATGGCGATGCTGGTGATGGTGATACTGATGCTGATGGTGATGGTGATGATGTTGATGATGATCATGCTGATGGTGATGATCTTGATGATGATGCTGATGATGATGATGTTGATGATGATGGTGGTGATGGTGGCTGTGATGATGATCGTGACCGTGACGGTAACGATAATGTTGACGGTGAGTGCCATGATGGTGATGTTGGTGATGGTGTTGTTGATGATGGTGATGAGGAGGAGGAGGAACAGGATGGTGATGATGTTGATGTTGATGATGAGGAGGAGGAGGAGGAGGACAACGAGGATCATGATGATTGATGATGGCGGTTGTGGTGATGATGGTGATGGCGTTGGTGATGCTGATAATGTTGATGTTGCTACTGGTGCTGATGATGAGGATGCTGCTATTGGTGATGATGGTGATAAAAATGATGGTGGTGGTGATGGTCATGATGATGATACTGATGCTGGTGACAATAGCAAGGATGATGATGTTGATGATGATGGTGGTAATGGTCATGCTGCTGATGGTGATGATGTTGTTGATGATGATTGTGATGATGATTGTGATGATGATTAAGATGATGCTGATGATGATGATGATGATGATGCTGATGACGATGATGATGATGATGATGATGGTGGTGATGATGATGATGATGATGATGATGATGCTGATGATGATGATGATGATGATGACGATGATGACGATGACGGTGATGACGATGACGATGATGATGACGATGGTGATGCGCTCCTGTTCCTGTTCCTGTTCCTGCGCGGGGGCGTCCAGAGAAAACGAGAGTCCCACTTGGGATGTAGGGAAAATCAATGCACCAGCTCCACAGGATGGTTGGGAAAGCACGTTGTCGGATGCTTGGGCAGATGGTGAGGGCGGAGCCCGTTCGCGCCCCGAGCGCTGGGGTGGGTGGCCGCCCCTCCCCCCAAGTTGCTCCGAGAGGAGGGGAGGAGGAGGAAATGGAGGAGGAGGAGGCGAAGGAGGAGGAGGAGGAGGAGGAGAGTGAGGTAGGAGGAGAAGGATCGGAGGAGGAGGAGGAGGAGGCTTTAACACGCTGCGTTCCGATCCGTTGTTTTTCGGTCGCAGCCATCAATACGCAAAGCATCACGCAAGCCAACGTTTGTCCTACGCAGAGCGGAGGCGAAGGGAGGAGGAGGAAGAGGAGGAGGCGGAGACGGGAGGAGGAGGAAGACCCTGGCATTTTCGCGTCTCGGCTAAATCACGAGGGATTTGTTTGTTGCTGTTGTCGGCTTCGGGGCCCTTTACCAGGACCTGAGCCCTTAAACAACAAATCGGTCACCAGGAAGGGACCCAGGTTTCTGGGGAACCGCGTTGTGAAAAAGCACAACGCCGAATGGTTGGCGAGGAGGAGGAGGAGGACCCTTTGGTGTGGAGGCCTCTTTGCACGTGGGTTGGTTTTCACATGGGTTGGGTTGCACTTTGTGAGCTCCAAGAAACTTATATTGTGCGCAAAGGGATGTGTTCCAACAATCGTCTCCGCCAAGCGCGGTGTATAAATCCCCTGCTTATCAGCAGCCCCCCAAGCACGGTGTTGTCTTGGAGGAGGAGGAGGAGGAGGTGGAGGAGGAAGCGGAGGGAGGAGGTGTGTCTTGGAGGAGGGAGAGGAGGAAGTGGAGGAGGTGTGTCTTAGAGGAGGGAGGAGGAGGAGGAGGAGGAGGAGGAGGAGGAGGAGGAGGAGGAGGAGATGTGTCTTGGAGATGAGGAGGTGTGTCTTGGAGGAGGAGGAGGAGGAGGAGGTGTGTCTTGGAGGAGGGAGACGGAGCAGGAGGAGAAGGAGGAGTAACAGGAAGACCAGAGTGAACCGGAGATGCATCAGCGATGCTGCAATATACCATCTTGTCCCAAATCCCCTCCTCATACGTCCTTGCAAACTGGCCTTTTACCACAAGGAGTG